ACCCGAGCTGAAGGCAGACGCTTAACGGCTGAGCCACCCAGGCGCCCCTGTCAGTGTGGTTAATATTAAACATAGGGCCTTATTGGCCCACTTGCCAAGACACAAAAGTTCTAATTTAACTTGAGGGATAACAGATTACAGGGTAGCACCTGCTCTTACCCAGAGTTATAGTCCTAAGACTATAGTCCTAACTATAGTCCTAAATTCCCAGCGTGTGCGTATTTAGCACAGTTAAGATAACCTTAATGTGGGGCGCCTGGGTGGCTCAGTCGGTTGAGCGTCTGCCTTCAGCTCAGGTCATGATCTCGGAGTCCTAGGATCGAGCCCCGCGTCAGGCTCTCTGCTCAGTGGGGAGTCTGCTTCTCCCCCTGCTTGTGCTCTCTCTCACTCTCACTCTATCTCAAATAAATAAAATCTTAAAGAAAATACTATGTCTTTAATCAACAATTAACAAATATGACATATGCAGTGGCATTTAAAAAAAAAAGATAACCTTAATGCACAAGTTGATAAATTCATTATTCTTTCATTCAACAAATATTTATTGATTGCCTGCTGTGTGCCAAGCATGATTCAAGGTGCTGAGGAGTAAACAAAACAGACGAAAATCCTTGCCTTCATGGAGCTTTCATCCTCGTAAAGGGAGGCCAGATTTAAAAATTTAGGGGCGCCTGGCTGACTCAGTTGGTAGAACGTGACTCTTTTTTTTTTTTTTAAGATTTTATTTATTTATTTGAGACAGAGAGCGTGCACACAAGCAGGGGGAGGAGCAGAGGGAGAGGGAAGGGAAAGAATCTCAAGCAGACTCTGTGCTGGGTGCGGGGCTCCATCTTACCACCCTGAGATCATGACCTGAGCCAAAACCAAGAGTTGGATGCTTAAACAACTGAGCCACCCAGGCGCCCTGAGCATGCGACTCTTGATCTCCAGATTGTGAGTTTGAGCCCTATGTGGGATGTAGAGATTACTTAAAAATAAAATATTTAAAAATTTAAATAAGTAAATTATATTGTATTAAGATGACAGTAAGTGCTGTAGGAAGAAAAAGGAGGAGTTGAAAGTACAACTTTTGTGAGGAGATTCTTGCTCTGATTTTAAATAGAATGATTAGGGAAGACTTACTGCAAAGTTGACATTTAAACATTTAAACAGAGTTCTGAAGAAAGAGAGAAGCCATGTGGATATCTGGGTGGTGGCAGGGGTGGGAGCATTCCAGGAGGAGAGAATAGGCAAGTGCAAAGACCCAAGGGCAGGAACAACCTGGAAGCCAATGTGGCTGGAATGGAGTGAAAGTGGGGGTGAAAGTAGTAGGAAAAGGTGTCAGAGAGGAAATAGGGGGCAGACTGTCCAGGAACCTGAAGGTCACGCTGAGGACTTAGGCTTTTATTCTGAATGAGATGAAAAGCCACTAGAGAGTTTTAAGTAGAGGAGTGACATGATCTGATATATATTTTTAAAATAGTTCTGGCTGCCCTGTTAAAAATAGAAAAGAGAGAGGTTAAGGGCAGAAACAGAACAATTAGGAGATTATTGTGGTAATCCAGGGAAACATGATGGCTTGGACCAGGGAAGTAGCTGTGGAGGTCTGAGGAAGTGGTGAGATGTTGGATATCCTTTCAAGGTGGAGTTAACAGGATTTCTCAGTGGGTTGGTTGTGGGGGTTTTGGCCTGAACAACTGGAAGGATGGAATAGCTAATAGCCTGGCTATCCATTCATTCATTATTCATTTTAAAGGGGGGGAATGGATAAGAGCAGGTTTGGAAATGAATTCAGGACCTCTATTTTTTAAAATTTTATTTGTATTGTGATAAAATATACATAACATGTAACTTACCATTTTAACCATTTTTAAGTGTACAATTCAGTGGCATTAAATACATTAACAGTGTTGTGCAACCATTGCCATTATCCATCTCCAGAACTTTTTCATCATTTCAAACAGAAATTCTGTACCCATTAAATAATAACTCCTTCTTCCTCCTCCCCACCAGCCTCCAGTAACCTGTTTTCTGTCTCTGTGAATTCGCTTATCCTAAGTACCTCATATAGGTACTCATCATGTAATATCTGTCCTTTTGTGTATGGTTTATTTCACTAAGTGTAATTTTTCAAGATTGATTCATGTTGTAGCATGTATCAGAATTTCTGGAATATTTTTAATATTCCACTGTGTGTATGTGCCGTATTTTGTTCATCTGTCTATTGATGAACATTTGGATTGGGGAAACTATTGGGTGCTATGAACATTGGTAAACAAATATTTGAATTCCTGCTTTCAGTTTCTTTCAGGGATATACCCATGAGTGGATTTGCTGGACATTATGGTAATTTTGTAACTCTTTGAAATTACAAAAACCAAACTGTTATCCACAGCAGCTGTACCATTTTACATCCACACCAGCAATGCATGAGGGTTCTAATTTCTTCACATCCTTACCAACACTTGTTATTTTCCATGTTTTTTGGTTGGTTTGGTTTGGTTTTATTATGGTCATCCCCTAAGCATGAACTCTAGTGCCTCATTGTGGTTTAGATTTGCATTTCCAGGACCTCATTTTTTCCCCAGTTTTATTGAGATATAATTGGCATGTAACATTGTATTAGTTCAAGATGTACAACAGAATGATTTGATATATGTATATGTTGCAAAACTATTACCTCAATAAATTTAGATAACAGCCATCACCTCTCACAGTTAAAGATTCAGGACCTTTTTTTTTTTTTTTAATTTTATTTATTTATTAGGGAGAGAGAGAGAAAGCACAAGCAGAGGGAGTGGCAGGCAGAAGGAGAAGCAGGTTCCTTGCTGAGCAGGGAGCCCATGTGGGACTCAATCCCAGGACCCTGGGATCATGACCCGAGCCGAAGGCAGACGCTTAACCTACTGAGCCACCCAGGTGTCCCAGGACCTTATTTTTTAACTCTGAGACTGAAGAAAATCACTAAAGTTGTAAATGTAGAGAGAGAAGAGGTCTGAGGCCTAACCCCTGAAGCACTCCCAACATTTAAAGGATGGGGTGATGAACAGTCAGTAAATAGCAAAACCAAGAAGAGAATGATATCCTGGAAGCCAAGTGAGGAATGTGTTCAAGACGGAGGGAGAGAAGAATTCTGTCAGGTTCTACAAATAGGTCAATTAAGTTGAGAACTGAGCATTGACCATTTGATTTAGCAACATGAAAGTGAACAATGACCTTTAGTTCACCAAGAATAGTTTCGGTGAAGTGATGGGAGTGAATGCCTATTTATAATGAATTTAAGAATAAAATAGAGGAATTTGAAGCAGGGAGCATACATAGTCTTTTAGTGAATTTTGTTGTAAAGAGAATCAGAAATGGGGCAGTTGCTTGAGGAGAATGTGGGATTTGGAGAGATTTTGTTTTATGGCAGACATTACAGAAAGTATGTTTAATGGGATTGATTCAGTAGAGAGGGAACATTTATTGAGGCAGAAAAAGAGGAGAGAATGATTGAAATGGCTTGCAGTTCTGGAAAAGCAGAGCTGTGAGGTCCTGGCAGCACTGTCCTGTGCCTCAACATTCTAAGACACAGGGGGGGGAGAGTAGGAAAACTGAAGAGGTGTGGCTTGTGACTGTTGCTGTTGTGGCCTTTGTAGAATTTGGTTGAAAGATCTCAGTGGCAGCCTCTGGTTTTATTCGTGCCAAAACACCTCAGCCCTAACAGCTGGAACCTACTTTTCTTTGAGTTCTAAAGATCCAGGGGATAAGGAAAGAGAGCATTTTCCTTCTCATCTTTAGTCTTTTTTTCTCTACTGTGAACATTTTGACCCTGCCTCTGAATATAATTGTGTCTGATACTTGATATTAAGCTATGTTTTATCAAAGTACATGCCACACCTGTCCCACACAGAAAGCCTGCCACACCTATCTCACACAGAAAGCCGTGGTATGTGGGCAGGACCAAAAGGTGCTAAAAATCCCTTGTTTTCTCCACAGCATTACTTACCACCTAGGACACAGTGGTCAAGTGGTCAGTAAAGAAGTTTTAACTATTTATGTTTCCACTAGTTACAAAGAAATTTTAATTTTCTTATTTTACTGAAACCTCCATTTCTACTTTCAAGCCTTAGATCTTTAGAGGACATATCTTAGCAGGTGAAAAAGAATGGAAAATAAGTTTATACCTGTGATGGTATTTACTAGGAGAAAGGCTCCTTTGGTAATACCATAGCCTGTGAGTCATATTTGTCAAACATGCTAAATGCAAGACATAAAAGATAGGAAATAATGAAACAGCAAATCAGTTGGGCATTGCTAGAGAGCACTTTCTGCCAACCCTCCATTGTGCCTTAAATTGTGATTATGTGGCCAGCCTAGTCTTACTCTAGGTTCTGTGTCTGTCTTTGCAGAAGGAACACAAGTCCTAAGTATTCACACAGATTTGTGATGAGAGATCCAAAGGAAGCTTCTAAATAATTTTCAAAATTGCTCTACCAGTTACCTTTTCACCCTAAGTAAGTCTGGAATGCATCCAGCAAAATAGCTTTTGCATGTTCATACCTTTCAGAATGAATCATCTTCCTTCCTTTTAGTGAAAGAAGGGCTCTGTTGACTATTTCTGGCAGAATTTCCACAAATGTCCTATTTTTCTTAAACCTTCCAGTGTTTCACTCAAGTTAACCTGGGGTGCCCAATGTTCCCAAAGGAGACCTCTGAATCTCCCAACTCTCAGTCATTTATGTTAAAAGAACAGTCTGTCCTGATTCTTCTGGGAAAATATCAGGTATCCTTTTTTAAAGAAGTTGTTCCCATTATAGGAAGTCAGAAATGGCAGGCAATAGACTGCATAAGAGTACCGTGCTAAGGCCTGGGGAAAGGGAAGGTTTGTTTTTGCTTGTTGAGCATAATCCTCTTTACCTGACTGAAATGGAGAGTGCTATCATCAGAATGTTGAGGTGAAATCTGGGACATCCTTTGATCTCCCTGAAATTCAAAATCTGTCCCAACTAGTCTGAACTTGTTATTTTTATATTTCGCAGTATCCAGACATGAGTCAAGAATCTGATTCTCCATTTGTTTTCATCTGCACAAATCCCCAGGAAATGATTGTGAAGTTTCCTATTAAAGGAAATCCAAAAATCTGTAAGTCACAAGCTTTGATGGTCTAATTTTCTTTTCTTTCTTTTCTTTCTTTTTGTCTTATGTATCACTTGTTTAACACTTTAAAATCCAGGGGCGCCTGGGTGGCTCAGTCGTTAAGCGTCTGCCTTCGGCTCAGGTCATGATCCCA